AGCTGCTGTGGACTCATACAAGGCAGAGTTATCTTCTATCTGACTCCTTGGGGGAACTTCTGTGGTCACTGTTACTGTTGTCATTGTGAATTCTGGTTTTAGGAAAACATAAAACAGATAAAACTAACTTCTTTGTCAATATGATTATATGGTTCATATACTGAAAGAAGTTCTGTATGAGTACTGTAATCAAATATAGTAGAAAATATTATAAATTATTGATATCTTATATAGTCATAATTTCAGAAATTAATTTAATATGAAAACAATAACAGCTGAAACAATAATTGATAGGAAATGTAAATTATCTGAGAAGAAAAAATGTGAAATTTTTCTTTGTATTCCACATTATAATAGACAGTAAAACTTCAAGAGTAGGGACCATGCCTTATTCACCTTTATATTCTAGCACACTGTAAGTGCCTAATAAATGTCTGTGGTACTAAAATAATATATTTATGGGGGCTGGTCCCGCAGCCGAGTGGTTAAGTTTGCGCGCTCCACTTCAGCGGCCCAGGGTTTGGCCCATTCGGATCCTGGGCGCGGACATGGCACCACTCATTAGCCATACTGAGGCGGCATCCCACATACCACAACAAGAAAGACCCACAACTAAAATATGAACCTATGAACTTGGGGGATTTGGGGAGAAAAGGCAGAAAAAAAAAAAAATAAGATTGGTAATAGTTGTTAGCTCAGGTGTCAATCTTAAAGTAAAAAATAAATAAATAAATAAAACAATATATTTATAACAAAATCATATGTATGTCACTAATGTGCATATATACATGTATGTATATCACTTTACACAGACATTTAATATGCTACATTTTATTTGACTCTCAATAGCCCGTAAAGGCCATTTACTGAAGAACTATTTGTAATAGTAAAAGACTGGGAAAAGCCCCAACGCTCACAAAAAGAGGACTGGTTGAATAAATTATCTACTGCTATGGAGTCTTCTCCAGGATGTATTATTCAACAAAAAGGCATGGCGCAGAAAAGGATATTTGTATCACAATTTCTATAAGAAGGGAGGGATGGATGGAAGTAAAAAATCTGTGACATAATTTTGACATTGAACACGGTAATTATTTTACCTAATTATAAAATAAAACTAAATTAAAGAGAAAAAAATGAACTCTTCCAAAATAAGAAACAAATGAATAGATCTGTATATCAAGTTGATGGTACAGTCACATAAATTATTTGAAGTGGCTTTAAAACACATAGCAGGGACTATTTTTCCCAGCTATGCTATGTCCTAAGAACAAAAAGAATCACAAAACAATCTTAAACTACACTCACTAATAATACCGTTAGTGGAAATATTAGTATTGCTATTTTGAATCTATTATACCTGTGTGTGCACGCATGAGCATGCACTCACCCACATCAATACATGATGTAGAATAAAGCCAAGAAGTTCTTGTCTTAATGTCGTTAAGAGCCAAGATTTTCAGCATAAGAGAAAAAAACATACAAAATAGAAACAAAAATATTATGTAAAACCTCATAATCCAAAATTAAATTATGAGAATAAAATAACTATGTATTTTCCTTTAAAAATGTATATTCTAGATCTCCCACTGACAAATTTAGAAATAGAAGCAACCAACACTTCTAGTGCCCAGATGGTGGTCTCAGTATATCATTTTCTACTACAAAGAAACCAGGGCTTCTGAGTGATTTAAGTCTGGGGCAAGAAATACGTAAGGTCAGCCTGACATATTCTGTCATGCCAGAAAACAAAAAAGCCATCACATACTAAAGACAGAAAAGCCAACCTGAAGAGGAATGACCGTGAGAGACTGAAACATATCAAAACTTTTTAGAGCCAGCCCTGATGGCCAAGCGTTCAAGTTTGGCAGACTTCACTTTGGCGGCCCAGCTCCAGTTCCTGGGAATGGAACCACACCACTTGTCTGTCCAGCACCAACCCTCATCATCCAACTCAATGGAGACAGGCCACCATTATACTGAAAATTAGCCCAGACAAAGGGGTGAGGGGGCACCTTCAACAAGCATTTATCTTGCCTTTACTGTATGAACTCTATTTCACAGTAACCAAAAAGTGGAAATTTTTCTAAAGAATTCCTGATAATAAATCCAAAAGGACTGATAGAATTAGAAAACCTATATTTTGCAGCCCTTTATAAAGTAATGGATCTAAGCAACAGTCATCAACCAGTGCTGAAAACGTTAGGTGAGAGGTTGATGAAGAGTGTATTAACCTGAGGGACCCCACTCATCAATCTTACCACAACTGAAAAAGAGACAACCAGACATTATGTCCTCTAGGTGTGGTACAATCACCAGCAGGAAGCATTATCTTTGAAATATGCTTAAAAAAAAGAGAGACCTGAATCTAGTCAAGTCTCTAAATCTAGGGACAATAAATAGCTGAACAAAAGGAAAACGTTCAATGACTCTACAAGGGTCAAGGTTGCAATAAGCCAAATCCACATTATGTGAAATTTTATGGGATAAATAACTAGTTCCTTCCTCAAATTAATTATATGAAGAAAGATGGGGAGAAGAGGAAAGAAATTGCCATAAATTAAGAGTCTTAAGACACATATGGCCAAATACAATATACAAATCTTCTTTGGCTCCTGATTCAAACAAACCAGCTATATAAATACATTTTTGAGCCAAATGGGAAAATCTTAACAGTGAACAGATAATAGACGAAGTTAAAGAGTCACTGTAATTTTGCCAGGTGTGATAAGGGAATTAAAATATTCTTTAAAAAGATCTTATCCATTAGTCATACATACTGAAATATTTGCAGGTGAAATAATACTGTATTTGGAATTCCTTTAAAATAATCTAGTAGAGAAAAGAAGTGGGACAAAGATGAAAAAAGTCTGACAAATGACAGGGAATTGTTGAAGACAGGCAGGGGCATACGGGGTTCGTTATACTCCTCTACCTGTATGTTTCTGTTCGAAATTTCCATAATAAACAATAAAGAACTAAAAAATAAAATAAAATAGAAAGGCCTGTGAGGTAGGATTATTAATCTCACTTTACTGATAAGGAAGCCAAGCCCATAGGTGATGTTAACTTACGCAAGATCACCGTAAAACTAACTGAGCTGAAACTTAAACCATCATTTGGACACCAAGTTCAAGGGTGTTTCCATCATATTGAGGCTGTCTCCCCTAGTGAGAAAAAAACAACAACAAAAATATTTAAAATGTAGCAATGACCTGTGCTGTTAAAACACACAAAAGAATTTTCATATTCGCTAGCATCACTTCAAAACTAGATCGTTTCTGGGGATAACTCAAAGTCCTGCATTTATCCTTTAATCTTCAATGAAATCTTCAATTAAAATTCAATGAAGCGTATGCCAAGAATTTTCCATTTTATTCTAAATCCTCTTAGACTGCCACTACAGCTTCCATTTGTTTCAGCTGAAGTTGATTTGGCAGCCATGACTCTGAAAGTCTGCTTTTTGCAGAACGCGAGTGGAAGGCCTTCTGTTCCAAAGTCCTCTGAAGTCTCTTCCGGGATTAAGTTCTTGGTCCAAAACAACATTTAAATGCTCAAAGCAAAAGAAACACCCACAGAGACAATAAGTCAGGTGTTTGGAAACCAGAGGCGGGTGGTCAGGCTGGAGTGGTGGTTGGCATACCACGACACAGGAGCCCACTCTGGCTCTGCACCTGGTTGAACAGCCTATGAACTAAATAAGAGTGGTTCTTAAATTTTTTAACAGTTTTAGAAAAAATCAAAAGAACAATAACATTTTGTGTCACGTGAAAATTATACGAAGTTCAAACTTAGTGTCTACACATGAAGTTTTCCTCTAAAATAACCATGGCCATTCAATTACATGTTGTCTATGCTGTTTTTGCACTGCAACAGCAGAGTTCAGTAGTTGTGACAGAGAAAATACGTGACAAGCAACGCCTAAAATATTCAGCATCTGATCCTACAGAAGTTAGCTGACCTCTGGGTTAGAGCCTGGCAGGGGGTGGGGGCAAAACCAGTGGGAAAACAGAGGCAAGCAAAGTAATCAGTTTGATCTGATTCAATTCCCCTTGATGGACAGTCCCATTTAATTGATTTGCCTTCTTTTTCCTTTTTAGCATGTTACACACTGTGCCCATTAACAAATAAGAAGAGGCATTTCATCATAGGAAGTAATCACTCTTTAGAATAGATCCCACTGCATTCTCACCATCTTTCAGAATTTGAAAATTGCACCAGGCTTCATGTTATATATCCTAAAATATATTCTCTTATGTGGTTTTTATTCTTAATATCAAGGAATTCTGCTCTTTAATCACTGATATTTCTCAAAACATCCTACCTCCTCCACTCACAAGACGCAAAAAAATCTTAGCCTCAATTTACATGTCTGTAAAATAGGATTGATAATACCTAGAATTGCAAAAATGAGGGGCTTGTTAAATGCCTGGTTGCAGAAGGCACTCAATGGACAGTAACTGTTAATATTGTTGCCTCTATTATTTTACATTATTAATCAACTCAGAAGATGGGAAGCCCATGACGGTGGGGGGGGGGGGGGCGTCCATGCCTATCTGGCTGCCAAGTTTATATCCAACTTTATTCTTATGAAATCAAATTTCATTTCTCTCTTTGTTTTGGAAAACTTTTGTGACCACAGTTCTTGATTATATAAAGAAACCCAAGGGGAACTGAAGCCAGCAAAGTCCAAATTGCCATATGGCAATAGCATCCTGGGGAAAATCCATCTTAGCATTTTATTTCTGCCAGAAGTAGATTAGGCAGATAAATTTTTCAAAATAAAACACAATCAGTTAATTAAAGTGAGAAGGCAATTTTATTTGTTTTATGCTAGAGTGGATTGAAGACAGCTTACAAGTGGCATCACGCCAAGAGGCGTTATTTCCTAGATGGGGGCTTTTCAAACAGGGCTCCCAAGGGGAGGGGAGGTGCTGAGCAGAAAGGGCTTTGCCAACTTGACTTGAACCAAAGCACCTCTGCTTTGTTTTGTTGCACAGTGAATTTCTCCATGAGACCTTCTGTGAAGAAAGAGCATTCTACATCTAAAAGGTTTGGAGACAGACTGCCAAGTTTCATGACCTGACTCTGCCACCCAGTAGCTGTGTAACCTTGGTCAAGTTCCTTACCCTCTCTGTGCCTCAGTTTCCTTATCAGTAAAATTCACATAATATCAATGTTAATTGCTACTAACAATATAAATAATAAACAACATGGGGTTGTTCGTGAGTTAACATTTATCAAGAACTTATAACAGTTATATTATAGGCATAATAAATGATTTGTACATGTTTGTCAAATGAGCAAATAAAACAGGAAACCATTATCCCCAATTACTACTGACAAGCAGTCTCAGTGGTAGAGAAAAACCGGGTAATAATTTAAACAGTCTGTAGACTGAGTTGGGCTATCAAGGAAACTCTGCTTTGAGGGATTTTTAAGACTAGAAAATCCATAGTATTGGTTCTTTCTTGATAAAGCATCAATAACTCAACATGTCCAACCAATGATGCTATTATCTAATGAACAGTTTACAATTTACAAAGCAATTCACACACTACTATGAATTGTAATCCATGTGGTAAACCAATACATCACTGGGAACCCAGGATAATGTAACTAAACCTACTACTCTGTTTAATGACATAAGGATGGCTTATTCATTATACAGTCAACACATATGAGGTACTGTTATGGGCTGAATTCTGCCCCCAGCCCGCCATTCCTAAGTTGAAGTCCTAACCCCTAATACCCCAGAATGTGACCTTATTTGGAAAGAGGGTCTCTGCAGATGTAATTAGCTAAGATGAGGTCATACCGCAGTAGGACAGACCCCTAATCCAATATGACAGATGTCTTTATAAAAAGAGGAAATTTAAATGGACACAGATGCATACAGGAAAAACGCATGTAAAGTTGAAGGCAGAGACTAGGATGATGCTTCTACAAGCCAAGGAACACCAAAGATGGCCAACAAACCACCAGAAGTTGGAGAAAAAGCATAGAACAGATTCTCCCTAACAGTCCTCAGGAGGAACCAACCCTGCCGACACCTTGGTCTTGGACTTCCAGCCTCTGGAACTGGAGGACAAGAAATTTCTAAGTTTAAGTCACTCATTTTGTGGTACTTTGGTATAGCAGCCTAGGAAACTCATACAGGCACTGTTTATATTCTAGAGATCATAACAAAGGTGTTTCTTTTCTTTACTGAAACCTCTACTCATTCATTATATAGCAAGTATTTACTGGATATAGCTGCAGTAGGAGCTGTGGCCACAGAGGTGGGCCAGAGACCCTGCTTTCAGAGACTTTCAGTACAGAGGGAAGACAGCTATTAATTAAAACTATACACATATGGGGGAACAGAATGAGAGATAGTGACAAGTGCCATGAAGAAAAGCAGGGGAACAGGATAAAAGGAGGTGGTGTTTTAGATGAATGGGGAGGGAAGGCCAATCTGAGCCATTTGAACAAGAGACTCGAATGAAAGGAGCTGAAGCCGTAGTTATCTGGGAGAAGAGGGTTCCAGGCGAAGGGGAGAGCAAGAGCAGAGGCTGGAGTTGGTGTAAAATAGTGTTCCTATCCAAGAACAACAAGATACACAGTGCAGCCTATCATTGTCTTTTAATGTAGCAGGACGGTTTTTTAGTTTTTTGGGGTGTTTTAGTAGACTGAAACTTGTTGAGACTTCCAACTTACCTAAGTTGTCTCCTTAGTCAGAATAAACAGGTCTAGCCCTGGCTGGTATGACTCCCTCAGGGTTGGAGGAAAGGTAGAGTATAGCAAAGTCTGCGAAGCTGCCAGCTGCCATGAGGCCCACGCAACTGACGTCCCCGAGAAGGGGCTCTAAAGTTCGGCTGACTGCACGGCAGTATTCTCAACTTGCTTCTGTGGGTGCCGATTGAAAAGCATGGTGGACATGTGGTATGTTTTGGCTGCCCAGCACTTGAATCTCCTTCCCAGAGTGGTGGAATCACCATCAGTCTGAGTCTTGGCAGGAAAAATGCCTTACTTGTTTTTCCTCACTCCTTGGGCCGGAGCACAGGTACGGTACCCAAATACAGGCAAGTGAGTGTTCCCACCTGGAAAAGCCAGTAAGGGATTGGTCCTTGGGCTTGTTGAAGCTAGACGCAGTGAAAACCCCATTATTCTGGGAAGGGATGGAGTCTGGCATAGACGACGCTTTCTGTCCAGTGGCAGGAAGGCCAGTGGTGGTATCCAGTGACCTGGCAACGCCAGGACTCTATCTTGCCATAGCCTGATCTTTGCTGAGGCACCAGCACATTGGATTCTCCCATTTCGAAACCTAGTTTTCCCATCAATTCTGGAAGCTGCTTCATATACTTCCACTATATTCCTTTTCTACTTAAGTTAGCCAGAATCAATTATTCTGGTTTGTAACCACAAGCCTCTGTATGGTTTTAGCACAGTTTCTGAGTTCTCAGTTTCTCAGTTCTGAGCTACCAATATTGAATATTGTTTCATCATTCTTGGTCACTATTATATAGAGCTTAGATATTGGAAACTGAAAAAGTAAGTTACGACAAAGGTGCTGCAAGGATAGTTAGGTTGTATGAGGGAAAAAAATTAACGCATCTCCAAACCCTTGAAGATGCTGACAGTGTCCTGGATATTAAATAGCACACCTGTTCTGCAGCTGCATTACACAGCACAATGGTGACATCCAGTGTCAGCCAGCCAAATCTCAGGTGACTGTGCAGTTCACCTGAAAGTGATGCACAGTATATCAAAAAATATGCATGCTAACCCAGAACCCAAGTAATAATAACACTGTTTTCAAGTAATAATCTAAGATTTCTTAAGTAGAATTTATTTTATTCATGTGTAAATACTACTCATGTGTATGCGCACATATATTCATATCATAGGCAGTGCTATAGAAAGCTCTTAGATATGAAATAACAGCTATTTGCTTTTGGAAAAAAATGGATTGAAATATTGGTACAAATACAAGATACAAATATATACTATCGACAAAGAACTGTGCCATTTCCCAAAAATCATTTTCTCTATATATAACACACTGTTATAGTTATTATCTATATATCTACTTCTATTTATCTATGTATAATGCAGCCAAGTCACAGAAGAGTGATATAAGTTTTTCAAGGTGATAAACTGACTTCATCATCTGAACCCAGATAGATTGACCTCAAATCCAGGTAAAAAAATAATCGATCTTCATAATTTACTGGTATGATCTGAAACTCTGAAAAACAGCTGCTGGTTTCACCCAGTGCTGGGTATAGCAACCAAATTGCAAAGAGGTGCAAATTACATGAATCCCTTCCCATGTGGGGAAGAGCGTGCCCACCACAGGCCAGTAGGGTATGCTGCCTTTACTAATTCTCATACACACCCTGAGAGGTCAGTGCCATTATTCCCATTTCACAGATGAGTAAATGAGGCTCAACAAAACTAAGCAAAGACAGATAGTTAATGACGGTCATGGATCTCAACCCATGAGTCTGCTGGTTCTTTCCAACTTGCCACTTTGCCTCCTGCTGCATTCTGAAGGGATTTCTAAGCCTAGTTTCTTGGGCCCGAGCTAGTTTAGTAATCAGGGTTTTCCAAAGGAAGGAACATTCAAGTCACTCCTGCTGTGAGCTCCTACAATGTCCTTCAGGAGCCTGAGAAGATATTGTTGTCCTTCTGGTTTCATGGCTCAAAAATGGAGGCTTCGGACTCGGTTGGTGTTGCCCAAAAGACTCTGTTCTACTTCCCCGCTACCCTGGGTGGCCTGGGGAAAGTTTTTAAGCTCCCTAGGCTTTGACTTCCTCAACTGAAAAATTCAGATGGAAATGTTAACCCCTTCATAGACCTATATGAGGATTAAATGTGATAATGCATAAAAAGTGCTTAATGGAGTATCTGACCCATAACACACATTCAAAAAATATTAAATAATTACTTTTATATTCACAACTTATTGTGGGCATTTGCCTACAGGACATCATTTGAAAGTGTCAGTGACTCAGTCACTGTTCCTATACCCTCCACCCCGTCAGTCAATTATTCCTCCTGCCTTGATCTTCTCAGTTAATATTCAACTCGAAAGCCACTTATGACTTGTCAGTTGACGAAAATACGAAAAGAAGCAGATGTCAATGACATACATCTTAGTCATCTGTAACATTTATAGGGAAGGAGCCCCTTTGGAAAATTTCTTATGTGGCTTTATAAAATATTTTAAGAGTAAAAGGCTCAGGAATTTACAAAATATCTATAGCTTCCTAAACCCATCCTGGAATATTTTAGCTTCAACATAATTCACTTTGTTCCAAAAATTATCCAGCAGGGGAAGGCGGGAAACAGACAACACCACGTGTAAGTGAGGACTTGGAGCAGCTGGAACTCCTGTCTGTTGCTGGTGGGAATGCGAAATGTGCAGCCATGTTGGACAATACTTGGGAAGTTTCCTATAAAGTTAAGCACACACTGTACAACCCAGCAATCCCATCCTTATGTATTTACCCAAGTGAAATGAAAGTTTATGTTCCATAAAACACAAATGTTTACTACTGCCAGACACTGGAAAAAATTCAAATATTCATCAACAAGTGAATCCTACTCATGAACACAAAAGAATGAACTACTGACACACACAGGTGAATCTCAAATGCATTACGCTTACTGAAAACAGCCAAATCCAAAAGGCTATATACTCTACAGTTCCATTTATATGACATTGCAGAACATTTGAAACTATGGGGACAGAAAACAGGTTAGTGGTTACCTGGGGACTGGGAATGGGGTGGGGGTTGACTACCAATGGGACAAGGGAATTTTTGGGGGGTAGGGAGGGGTGATGTAACTGTTCTATATCTTGATGGTGAGGATGGCTCCAAGACTGTAACCATTTGTCAAAACTTACAGAATTTCTATACCAAAAAAGGTGACTGTATATACTTCTATTTTAAAAATAATAACCCAATAGAATCCTAGAAAAAGCAAAGTACCATTGAGATTTCAAAACCAAGGACCTTCACTGATTTTATTAGAACAAACAGGAAGCCATAATTAGCTGGATTTGTTCTCTTTCATTCCAATTATTAGCCCCAAAAAGTTTAAATGGCAAAAAACAGCAATAGAATCAGGATTGTTACAAAGCAGGTAACTGTGCTCCTGACAGGTAGATAAGTAGGTAGAGCTGTTACTGATACAAGAATAGTCAATGAAGGGGCTGGCCCCGTGGCCGAGTGGTTAAGTTCGC